TTATTCACTGTTGCCTCCGCTGGTTATTGTCGGTTGCAAATTTTAAATAATTTAATGTTTTTTTTCTTATTATATAAATAACATGTTAGGAATGCAATATTGAGAGCCGCTCCGATCGTACTTGGAGCGGCTCATGTGGTAGCGATAATGGCACAACCTTTTAAGTCATTAAAACATGTTGATAATGTCGTTTAATGTTTTCATTTGCCAAATATTATGGTTTATGTTTTAGATTCGGTACTTTTTGTGGTAGGCGTGATGGCCAGCTGGGGGACAACACAACACAACAAAATAATTATTCTAGAATAATTTTATAAGTAAGACACAGTTGGCTTTAGAACGCCATTTTCGTACACCTTTCGGTGATATACATACCGTAACCACTTTTTGACCTCAGTCCCAAGGTGGGTCTAATTGTCTTTAGTGAGATTAACTCCCATGATTTGATGTTATATATTAATGTAATTCATCGCGTTACGTTGAGTTTAGGGGCGGATCCAGAAAGTTTTTGACGGGGTGGGGGGGGGGTTCCAATAGGTAGAACACACCCACCTCAGCGACACCATGGTTGGGGCTGAGGTGAGCAAATTTTAAGAATGTGCCCCTTCTCTAGACGCTTGGAAATATGGCACTCTCAGATGGTAAAAAATGCTTTTTCAAAGCAGTGTTCCTCCAAAATGATTGACCTCTTCCCGACGGGAGCTATGCTTCCCCTCCCATAGACACCCCTCACGGCGGTCGCAAAAGTCTAATTAAGGACCTGGCCTAGTCTATTCTATACTGGGAGTTGCAAAGAAAATTTTAAGTATGGCAGCTCTAGATGCCCGGAAATGGCACTCATTCAAACTTAAAATTTGAAAATTTTATCTCCATTTTTTTGTTATTTATTTATTTATTTTTTAAAATTTTGACAAATGTAGGAGGTCCTGGCCGGCTTGCCACCATCCCCACTGGATTAATATGATATATGTCCTACAGTCGATGTCAGAGACACATTATGCTGTTATGTATCAACAAAGCCCTTTTAGATCAGGGTGCTATAGAGCAAGAATCCTATGGGTAGGTGGCCCTGAGGCCCGCCGCGCGAGAGCGCATAGGAATACGCGTTACGCCACTGAGCATGGATAGCTGTTCTAGCAGTGTACTACGGTACGTTCCGTAATAATGGCTAAAAAAAACCCTGTCTTAGGTCTCCGTCTTTTGGTCTTTTATACATCCTGGTTTATGAAATCGTGGGAAAATATCGGCGTAGGGGATATAGCGTAACGTTGTGTTCGTCGTCAATCAACAGGTCCGTAACCAGCTTTAGTAATGGGGGGGGGGGATCTTTTTCAATCTGAGTGGAACTTTTGGGGTCCAGGGATTCTCTCGAAAAATGTTGAAAACTATTCTGAGTGCTCTTCTGGTGTTTTTTAGCTGCTGTCAAATGAATTTATACAATTTTCGTGAATTAAAACTGAATCAATTTGATATGTGCAAATATTGAAGAATCGGCAGTAGGCTATGCC